TCTTTGAAGAAATGTTCCCAAATATTCAAAATAAACCATGGTTTCATTGAAATTCCAGTATATATTAAACAAAATTAATGGAATTCAAACAAATCCTTTATTCAAAGGGACTATATGAAGAATTATACAAATAGTAAAGATGCAATTGATTTACTGCATATAAATTCATCTTTTAAAAATTATTATATTTGTTGCATTTAAAGATAACATGTTCAATATCTTAAATTGAATTACATTTAGTTTTTTTTTTATTTAAATTTTTTAGTAATGTTTTCTACTTTTTCCTCCAATCAGTCTTGTTAATCATTATATCGGTTAAACTTTAAAAATATGTCTTCAATATCAATTCATTCAATTTAATTACATTCGGTTATTTAAAAATCTAATTTTTGCGGAATGTTTTTTACTTTTTTCTCCAATCAGTCTTGTTAATCATTATATCGGTTAAACTTTAAAAATATGTCTTCAATATCAATTCATTCAATTTAATTACATTCGGTTATTTAAAAATCTAATTTTTGCGGAATGTTTTTTACTTTTTTCTCCAATCAGTCTTGTTAATCATTATATCGGTTAAACTTTAAAAATATGTCTTCAATATCAATTCATTCAATTTAATTACATTCGGTTATTTAAAAATCTAATTTTTGCGGAATGTTTTTTACTTTTTTCTCAATATCGTAATTTAATTACATTTCGTTTTTTAAAAATGTTAATTTTTTGTAATGTTGTTTACTTTTTTCTGCAATCAGTCCCAATGAGCACAAGAAAATATCTTTATTAATATTTCCACTTTCGCTTTTATGGAGTGGTATACTTACTTGTAAATATGCAAAGGCTGCACTTGACCTACCAAAACGCTGCAGTGGTAAAAATACATGCACCAGCAAACGTGGACGTGTGATCCTGACCTTCACAAGAGAATATATTTATTAATATTTGTATTTTCTGCACCAGCCATACGTGGACGGACACACAGGGATCCTAGCCGGCAAAACTTACTTGCAACGGCTGCACTTGTTGTAAAACGCTACTTTTTGAATACAAATTATGAATAACTCCGATACCCTGCAAATAAATATGTAAATTATTGTTGTAATTCAAAATATTTCCATTATTTTTGATTTTTTTGCCATACTTACTTGAATTTGCCCAATAAGAAAATGAATTTCCACGAAACAATCGATGAAATTATCGGCAGTGTTGCCTGTTGAAATTTTTATACGAAGACAATATTTCTCCTTGTATTTTAGTAGTAGTTTCTACAAATCAAAAAAGAAGGCAACACAGGCTAAGGCAGAATGCGGGAGCGAGACAACTGCCAGGTTACCCAACCTTGTATTAGGTTCATTCCTTATCTTTTTGGACTAAAATCTGAAAAGTGTCAAAATGCCAGAGCGTAAGCAAAATGCGCTCACTAAAAGAGAATAACAGGAAAAGTAAAGGAACGCAAAAAACCAAATTTTTAGTCCAAAGAATGGCAACAACAAAGCTAACGTCAAATAAGAATGGAAATGTATGTACAAAACACATTCACACAAGCACAAGCACAATAAACACTTACTATATCAATTATTTTTTGCCTCCTTCCAATTTCAATTCTTTACTTTTTAGATTATTCTCACTTTTTTCGTATTCTTTAATTTCCGTTAATTAAAATTTAGTTGAGTTTGACACTTTTCAGGATTTTGCCAGAAAAAATTCTTCTGACTAAATCTGACTACTTCGGACTGATGAGAGTCACTCTCACTAGGTGTTGCTCTCTCATTTTAGCTGTCATTTCCGAGTTAAGGAACGCTTTTTGGACTAAATCTGACTACTTCGGACTTTTTCTGACTATTTCTGGGAGATAAGGAACGCTCCTTTTATTAAATCATGTATCATCCTCACATATGTTCATCAGAGTATACCAACGAAGGACGAATTAATACAAGGAGATAGAAAGAGCACAAAACTACTCTAGAAAATTACGCGCCCAATGACAAACATGAACAAATGTACAACAAACACATAGTTTTTGACAATCAGTTCAGTTCGCATTTATATCAACGAGCAGTTTATTAGATTTGTTTTCGTTTGTACTACATACATATGTGCATATATACATGTACACAAACATTTGTACATACACAAACATATGTACATACATACAAATATATATACAACCATTCAAACATATGTACATTAAGGCATCCAATCCCGGCCAATTTTGTGATTCCCGGGATTACGGGATCTTAAATTGGTAATCCCGGGATCTCGGGATATTATTACCATTAATTAAAATATGCTAACAAACTAGTTTTGCAGTCTTTCTTTAGTGCGAATACTAGAAAGAAAAATAAATCTGTGTTTTTAAGAAAAGAAATATAAATATCTTTATTTTATATCAGTTTAAAAAGCTAATTAAAAACTGAATAAACTAAAAACTACGAAATTGAAATTCATTCATATTGCAGTCGAAGTCATTTTAACAGTTAAACTTTTTTATGTTGATTTGCATAGTAGAGACCAGTAAATTTGGGATTTTAAATTACACCATCCTAATCCTTGTTTAATTCTCTATAAAAAACATTTTAAAAAAATTTGATCATGGGCGTAGCCAGGTAGGGGCAGGGGGGTGCTCGAGGCCCCCCCCCCCCCCC